GGCTGCCGAGCCGAGGGGGAGCTGCCCCCGCACGGCGCCCAGCTCCGAGCCAGCCAGGGCCGGGAGGGGTCTCCCCAAATCCAGGCTCTGCCTGGAGAACGAGGCCCCGCCGGCGGCTCGTCAGAAGGCGACCTCGAGAGCAAGCACCTGAGACATCCTCTGGAGAAACAGGGAGGGAAACTGAGGCAAGGGAGCCCTTCTCCATCCCCCCCAGGCCCGGAGGAGCCGCCGTGGGAGGAGCCTCGTCTGCTGCTCGCCCTTCGCTCCCCCTCGGGCCGCAGGTTCCAGCAGCTCTTCAAGCCCAGCGACAGCCTCCAGCAGGTCCTCGCCGTGGCGGGGCCGGGGGGGGCGGCGGGCCACCAGCACCAAAAAAGCAGCCTGGAGACCATGGAGGTGCCCCGACGGAGCTTCCCCGACCTGAGGAGGTCCCTGCAGGAGTGTGGGATCCTCCCCAGGTCCGTGCTCTGCATCCGGCGGCCGGAGCCGCGGCCTTAGGGCACCCACCCACCCACGGGGCCTTCTGCACGAAAAAATGGGAGAGTCTGGTGTTTTCTGGGCCTTTCCTTCCTCTCGGCACCTTCCCCAAACTCCCCGTGAAGAACTCCCTGCGTGGAAGTGTTGAAATAAGTGTTTGAGATGTGCCTGCTCCAGAACTAGCACCTTCCTCCCGTGTGCCATCACAGATTCCTTCCTGAGCGTCACCAGCCTTTGGTCTGTTGGGTTTTTTCTTTTAAATTGTTGATGTTCTTTGAAGACTGAAGCTCCCGAGGCCTTTTCTGTGTTTCAGGAAGGTGAATCCTGTGTAAATCACTCTGCAGAGTGGATTTAGAGGCTCCTGCTCAGGAAGGTGGAAGTGGAACTGTTTTCCTCTGGGGACCATCTTCAGGAGGTTGTCCTTACTCTAAACATCTTCTCAAGAGTGATTGCAAAGGAGATTGAACCCCAAAACCATGTGGAAATAACAGATTCGTGGATTATGGTCAAGTATTGAACTGCTGGATGTTGGGAATGTGCCTGTGAGGGCTCAGCACCTTCTGGATAACCCCAGTGCAGCTTTTGAGTGTTACTGCACCATCTTTTTGAGGACAAATAGTTGTTAGTTGGGCTGTATTGGTGAGCAGCAGAAATTCTGCTTGGTTTCCCTTCTCTCATTTGATTCATGGGATCCATGGGTGCCACGTCCCACTTGATGGCTCCAGTTCCTTAACTCCCAGGTCAGGATGAAGCTGGAGGGACACCAAGGATCCTCCAGTTCACCAGATGCTAATCCATGGGGTCACAACAGTGTTGGTGTGAGGAGAAAACCATTTATAGGGGCTAACAACAGTATTGGTGTGACCAGAAAATAGCTTCAGGTGACCCAACAGTGGCTGTGCTTCCAGAATCTTCTGGGAATGGGTTGAGGGGCTGTCAGGAGCAGCCCTTGCTTCCAGAATCTTCTGGGAATGGGTTGAGGGGCTGTCAGGAGCAGCCCTTGCTTCCAGAATCTTCTGGGAATGGGTTGAGAGGCTGTCAGGAGCAGCCCTTGCTTCCAGAATCTTCTGGGAATGGGTTGAGAGGCTGTCAGGAGCAGCCCTTGCTTCCAGAATCTTCTGGGAATGGGTTGAGAGGATGGGTTGAGAGGGTGTCAGGAGCAGCCCTTGCTTCCAGAATCTTCTGGGAATGGGTTGAGGGGCTGTCAGGAGCAGTCCTTGCTTCCAGAATCTTCTGGGAATGGGGGACCACAGCCCCTCTGCCCACGTTCTCCTGGGGAACCTCTAGATAAAACCCTAATCCCTGGATTTGGCTGAGGAATTGGCTCAGGTAGAAGATATTCACTAAACCATCCTTAAAAAAAAAGGTCACGGGGGGGAATGTGGCAGATTTTAAATACAATGTTCTTAAAACATTCAAACTAGATCAGCTGTGTGGGGAGTAGACCCTTTTTTTTAGCAGCTTGGATTATTTAACCTGAAGAATTTTCATTAGAAACCCCAAAGACTCACTCTTTTGGGTGTTTTTTTTTGAGGTAAGGAGTTATTTTAACCTCTGTGTAACCCCCAACCCAACTGGGAGCAGCAGCAGCTCTGAAGCTGATGCTGGTGTTGCCCATGGGCACGTTGTCTCCTCCTCACCCAGGGATGGTCACCATCCAGTGTCACCTCCAGCTGTGGGGGGTGCTGGGCAGCAATCTGGGGGGCTTCAGGGGCATCAAAATGGCTTTTAATGCTGGGGGGCTTTAACCAAACCACTCAGTGTTGGTTCCCTTCTGATTCCTGTGGCAGCAGAACCAATAAAACCTTCCAGGCTCAGGCTGGAACTCAGAATGGTTGGTGGGAACGGGGGGTTCAACCATCCCATCACCTCTTCAATGAGAGATGCCCTTAATTAGGTGGCAGAGAACTTGGGGAGGTCCCAAACTGGGCTTTGGCTGGTCAGCTGCTGCCTCGTGGGGGACTCTGGAGTTTGGGGTGCCAGCCAGGGTTAGGTCTGAGATCACAGCAGGGGAGGAAGGGTCTCAGAGCACCCACTGCCAGCCAGAGGAGCTGCTGAGGGACCTGGGGTTGGTCAGTCTGGAGAAGAGGAGGCTGAGGGGAGAACTTGGTCTCTCCACCTCGCTGCAAGGAGGTTGGGGTGAGGTGGGGGTTGGTCTCTTCTCCCAAGTAACCAAAATAGATGAGAGGCAATGGGTTTAAGTTGCACCAGGGGAGGTCTGGGTTGGATCTGAGGAAGGATTTCCTCCTGACAGAGGGGTGAGGGATTGGCCCAGGCTGCCCAGGGAGGTGCTGGAGTCCCCAGCCCTAGAGGGGCTGAAAAAACATGTAGAGGTGGCCCTTGGGGACATGGTTCAGTGGTTACAGTAGTGCTGGGTTGATGGTTGGACTTGATGTTCTCCAGCCTTCATGATTCCCTGAGTTTGTTCCTCTAACAACCTCACCCAGGCTCCAGCATCTCCCAGGATGTGTTTGAATTATTTCCTTTCCTAAAAGCCACATCAAGCCCAGGGAAAACTCCTCAGTTCTCCCCCACCTCCCTCCTCTTCCCTCCCAGAGCTGTGGGGGGACCCAGGGGAGGGGTGGGCAGCAGGGGAGGGGGGGGCAGCAGCTCTGCCCAGCCTGGCCCAAGAGTGACCCTTCTGTCACCAGTTACTGTGCAGCATCCAGTTTCCTCATGGGAAGCTTTTCAGCATGAAAACTCCCAGAATAATTGGGGAGGTCAGGGATAGAAACCTCCCCAGAC